AAGGAACCCCAAGGGCAATCTGGTCCAACCCCCCTGCACAATGCAGGAAAGTCACAGCTACCTCCCCCCATTCCCCAGTGACCCCTGCTCTATGCCCTATGGAAAGCTGAGAGGGAAAATATAGCAGCCATTATATTAACAATACTGGAGATTAACGGTAGATTGACGACCACATAAACAGTTAATGGAAGCATATTGAGTAATACGATCTAGCGGGTGGAACGTCTCATCCTAGATCTTCCTGGATTCCCTTTCTTAAACCCTAAATTCACATTTCCAAAATAAAAAGAGAAATTGCAAGAATCTCATTGCTGGAATCTCATTGCTAGAAATACATCTGCCATACAAACTGAAAGGGGCTAGACAGGTGCTTGTCTTTCCCAAGAACCCGCCTCATGCTCTGAATGGATTTTGCAACATATAAAACCAGCTGGGTCAATATACACTGAAAGACAGAATGCAAACATTTGCAATGATCACCAAAGCCACTAATGAAGAGACAGTGAAGCAAGCAAAAGCTGGGCGCTGTCCACCCACACCTATGCTCGGCTTAAAATTAAGCCAGCGGGCCCCCTGCCATGGCATCGCTGCTCAGCATTCTTCAAAATATGTTCTCTAAAGAACGACACAGAATCACTCATTTCTCACCAAAGAAGTAAGCAAGAAAAGTGTAGAGGTTATGGGGGCCTTCAGGGAAGGGAAATAGGAAATAATGGGAGAGGGGGAAATGAGATGTGCCCCACAAGTCCCTGCGGGTTCTCACTTATTCTCGAGGGCCCATGTTTTGACCTCTCACACAGATTGCGTGCGCTACCTCCATTTTCACTCTTCTGCCTAATGCTCAATTCTCTGCTTCTTCCAAGGTTCCTTGGCTACACCCCTGTCCTCTCACAAGATGTCTCGATGCACAAACCAGTGTGACATTCTGCACTGTAAGACACTTAAAAAACACACATATTCTTAATACAGTTGAAAACTCCCTTCAGAATCCCCCTTTATGTGCTGCAGATATTCTCTAAACATACTCTGATAAAAATCTATCACATTTCAAGACACAGCCACAGGGAGAGAGAGAGAAAACAATAACTGTAAACATGTCAGTTATCTACAGCATTCTGGGTTCTCTTTAAAAAAATGATTACTAACTTTGCAGAAAGAATTGACAGTTATGAGAAACTGCCACGTAGGAGGAGAAATTTCTGGGGTAATATAAGAAGTCACCAGTGTGAGAAATACCTTCAGAGGAGATCTGTCTAGGGGTGAGTCCACTGTCACGGCAGCTCAATGGCCTGTCCTCTGTTGCAAAGCACCCTTGGGGAGGGGCAGTGGAGAAGCGGTGGGGAGGGATGAAAGCCATTTTTCCCTTGAAACATTCTCCCAGCAAGATTCTAAACCCAGGTCTGGGAGGCAAACACTGAGGGCGATAAAAGTAACTAGTTGGGAACTTTAATGGACGTAGAGGCGCAGGCGCAGCAGAGCCAAATGGACAGAGCCGGAGCCGCGCTGACGCGAACCGCACGTCAGATGGGTCCGCGGAATACAGCCGACTCCGAAGACCACCGGAAGGAGAAGAAGAGGAGCCAAACTGAAAGCCGAGCCGACAAAAAAAAGCCGAACCGGAAAAAAGAACAGCGAGTCCCTCCACTGGGTGCCGGTAGGGCAGTCCCTACCCCTGACTATGTGTGGCCATAGATAGGGATAAAAGTAACTGTAAGCCGCTCAGAGACCCCATGGGGTTCGAGCGGGATACAAGTCGAAAGCATAAATAAATAAATAAATAAATAAATGGCAGAGGTCAAGACTCCCCCACCACCATCTTCCAAAAACATTCTTCCCAAAGGTGCTTTGCAAGAGAAAAAGACTGGTAGGCTGACATGAGTCATTGCAATGCAGGTCCATGCAGGGAGTGAGTGAGGTTCAAGCAGCCTGAGAGTGAACTGGAAGAAAAACTTCCATCTGGGATGCAGGTCTCTCTCGCAGGGTAAAACTTTGTGGGTAGGGGGAACTCTGTGGGGCTCAAAGCAGTATGAGCCACATAAAAATCCTATGGGGAGCACACACACACCTTTTTTTTGCAAAACAGTTACTAAGAGAATTAGATTTCTGGGTCTGGAGAAAGGTATATCCAAACAAGTTCAGGAAAATGGGATACAGAAATTGCCGTGTGGGAAGACATTCGCCAAAAGGAACGGGGAGACAGGAAAGAGGAGGTTCTGTATAAACTCGGCTGTCCTTGAGGGGAGATACAGGAGGATACTTTACGACCAGAGACTTTTGTCAATGTGATCTGACGGAAGTTGAAACTATTGAACATATGTTACTTAGGTGCCCATGGCATGACTAGTTCGAGTCAGATATATTTTACCATTGATAAAGGTAATGCCTGGTCTGATGGACTCCGATTATGTTAACTACTTGCTATCAGACGAAACTCAGTCCATTACTAAACATGTAGCTAAATTTTGTGCAGCTTGTTACTGTATCTGCAAAGAAAAGACTACCTAGTCTTTTAAATTTGTTTTAGACCATGGTATTTATATTACATTTTAACAAATTGTTTATATTGCTTATGTATAATGTTCAGATTTGCTGGCAAAAAAGACTCCGCATAAACAAATTCTGAAGTGAGAATAATTCAGCTAGAAGGAAGAGCACTGATGCCAGCTCCCAGTGAGAGGCTCAGTCTTAAGCACACAGCAGGGAAGGGAACGACACTTAGTTATGAGGTTACTTGAGGGCCTGATGTGCTGACTCACCCCAACTCTCCTCTGAACAAGAAATGCAAAGGGCCGGGATAAAAAAAAGAGTGTTCTTTCCCAGGGCTTCAACATTGCCAGAAAATTTACCCCTCTGTTATGTGGGCTGCTTCACTTGCCATTCATTTTCTATCCAGAAAGCGAGTACATGCTCTGTGTATAATTCACCCAGCATCCAAAATTGGGACGCTACCATGAATTGCAGCACATGCACTGGCTGCCAATAGCGTACCGGATCCGCTTCAAAGTGCTGGTTCTTACCTTTAAAGCCCTCTATGGTCAGGGTCCGGCATACCTAAGGGACCGCCTTTTCCCATATGTTCCCCCAAGGGCACTACGGTCGGGGGGTCAACATCTTTTGACTACCCCAGGCCTCAGGGACGTCAAATTCGCCAAGACTAGGGCCAGGGCCTTTTCAGTGGTGGCTCCTACCTGGTGGGACGAGCTCCCAGAGGAGACCCGGGCCCTGCGGGACCTTGCGCAGTTCCGTAGGGCCTGCAAGACGGAGCTCTTCCGCCAGGCTTTTGAGTAGGAGCTGCCGCCACTACTGTTCCATCAATGCACCGTCGCTGAAAGTTGGCAGAGATACCATCAGGGTGCAAGCAGGCCCTGGGAAGAAGACTGGCTATCTGCCGCTTTGGAACTTACGTCGTTGGTCCGGATCCACCCTACCAGAACCCAGCTTGGAATTGGGAACATCAGAGCACCAGCACTTTGTCGTACTATTGTTATGTTTTTATCTTGTTTTAATTGTTTTAATTATGGCTTTTGCCCCAATTGTTAGCCGCCCTGATCCTTAGGGGAGGGCGGGATGTAATCGAATTATAAATAAAATAAAATAAATAAATAAAATGCATCCCATGTGGAACACCAGTTACATGCACGCAAGCATGATGCAATCCAGGGTTTACAAAGGCTGCTCTAAGGGCAAATTCCTTCAAACTATGAAATACTGGCAAGGCAGAGAACAATTCAGGAGCACTGAGAGGGCACTATTACTCTGGACAACTGGCCAGAATTTTGTCCTTCTCCGTTGTCAGAACAGCAAGATAAAAAGCTGGAGAAAACAAGAGTGTATTCCTCACACACCCATTTTCTGTGAGGTGCATTTTTAAATTCCCAAGACATTATGGGGGGACGGACACACAGGAGCACTTTGTACATACTCAAAAGAACTGTACTGATATTTTTTATAAATGGGGGGGCTTGTGAAAAAATAGAGGAGAAAGAGGGGGGAACTTGTAGTCAATCCCTCCCCCCAATCTTCCCTTCCAGGATTTTGCACACTCTCAGGGACCTGAGCAGACTAATCCACACACACACACACACACACACTGACACTCAGCATTCTGTCCCCTTTGGGTCAGTGCTCAATACAGGTATTTCCCCCCATCAGGTTAATTTACAAACTCACCTTGACACAGAGAGTACTCCATCTTTCTGTGTTATACCTTTGAGGATGCCAGTCACAGCTACTGGCTTAACATCAGGTCCTACAATGCCAAGACCACGGCCACACAGCCTGGAAAATCTACAGCAACTAATGAACTCATGTTTCTCAGACTCATGTTTCTGCACACCTGGGACAGCAGCCGCCCCACTAGCTGTTCTACCAATGGCCACCACATAGCCTGGCCTTCCTGATCCACCCCACAGCCAGCTAGATCGGCATTAGGCATAGCAATGACGGATGTTTTTCTTCACGGGGCAAGCAGGAGGCTCCCCCGCCCAGAAGCGCTCTGCACGACAACCCAATTCCTTTAAGAGCAGAGAGAAACGGCACCTTAAAAGACCAGCCCTTTTTAAAAATTCCATGACCTTTTCTGCCCACCTCGTCAGATGCACCCACCCCTTCGGGAAAGAGCAGCCCTCTGCACGAGCTCATTAACATCAGGTCCTACAATGCCAAGACCACGGCCACACAGCCTGGAAAATCTACAGCAACTAATGAACTCATGTTTCTCAGACTCATGTTTCTGCACACCTGGGACAGCACCCGCCCCACTAGCTGTTCTACCAATGGCCACCACATAGCCTGGCCTTCCTGATCCACCCCACAGCCAGCTAGATCGGCATTAGGCATAGCAATGACGGATGTTTTTCTTCACGGGGCAAGCAGGAGGCTCCCCCGCACAGAAGCGCGCTCCTCTGCACGACACCCCAATTCCTTCGAGGGCAGAGAGACACGGGAGTCCTCCGGCACCTTAAAAGACCAGTCCTTTCTCCCTCCCTCCCGGGGCTCACCATGGTACAGATGGAGGCGAGTCTCCGGACCGTCATCAGTATTTCCATCCGCCCGACGACCCGGAGCCCGCCGCCGCCGCCGCCGCCGCCATGTTCGGTCCCCGCCGCCCAACTGACAGCGGCAGAGCCGGAGCAGGAGCGGCAGCCGCAGGTGGCGCAACAGCCAAAGCGGCCCGGGCGGCCCCGCGTGCGCCGGCCAAGGAGGCCCGGCCTGCTCCCGCGGCCCGCCAGGCAAGGGTCCGGCCCCTCCGCATCGGTTCCCGGCGGCAGCCCGCGGGGCCAGCGCCGCCGCCTCCCTCCCTCCCTCCCGGGCTGGGGCTCCCTCCCGTGGGCTCCCCCGGCGCTCATTCCGGTGCTGGGCCACTATAGACGGCTCCAATATAGGGGGCAGTGGCCAAAGTTCCCTCTAAGCAGTGGAGTCTTGTGAGCAAAAATTCTGCTTTGTGAGCTGCTGAGCTGCTGACATTAAAGTTGTGAGCAAGCAAGTCGGCTGCTGCATAAATTAGTTTGCTCTGGAGCCCCATCCTTCCTGAGCTGAGACAAAAATATGTGAGCCGGAGGCTAAAAAACTGTGAGCTAGCTCACACGAACTCAGCTTAGAGGGAACACTGGCAGTGGCTGGGCCCGACTCTCCCCCTGCAAGGTTGCGCCTGCTCGGAAAGCGAGCGCCGGGGGGCGGGGGTGTTTCAGAGCCGCTCCTTCTGCACGGAGGAAGCCTGCCTGCCTGCCGGGGGTCGCCCGGTCCGTCGTGCCGCGGCTGGCCCCCGCCCCCGCGTCGTCTTCGTTCAGGAGCCCCGTTGGCGGCACTCCCTGGGGCGGACTTTCACTTTGGAGCCGTCGCACGGCACGATCCGGCGCGGGCCTGCTCCGAGGCAGGGTTCCCTCTAAGCTGGGTGAGTGTGAGCCAGCTCACCGTGTTTTAGCCTCCGGCTCACGCATTTTTTTCTCCGCTCAGGAAGGGAGGGCTCCGGACGCAATGTTCCCTCTAAGCTGTGGCGTCTCGAGAGCAAAAATTCTACTTTGTGAGCCACTGGCACTAAGGCTGTGAGCCAGTGATTTGGCTGCTGCGTAAATTAGTTTGCTCTGGAGCCATCCTTCCTGGGCTAAGTCAAAAATGTGTGAGCCAGAGGCTAAAAAACTGTGTGCTAGCTCACATTAACTCAGCTTAGAGGGAACACTGCTCCGGAGCAAACTAATCGATGCAGCAGCCAAATCGCTCGCTCACAACTTTAATGCCAGGAGCTCACAAAAGTAGGATTTTTGCTCACAGGACTCCGCAGCATAGAGGGGGCGTTGCTCCGAAGTAAGCCCCTCTCCTCGGGCCCTGAGACTGACGCCTCACTTCAGAGAGTGGCAGCCGAGCAGTAGCCCAAGGGGGAGGCTGCCTCTTGTTTGCCTTCCTTTGCTCACCTCTGTTCCACGCCAGGTGTACCCAAAGAGGGGAACGAGTCGGAAGTAAGGTTGCCGACCTCCAGCTGGGGCCTGGAGGCCTCCCGGAATTAGACTGACCTCCAGACGACAGAGGTCAGTTCCCCTGGATGAAATGGCTGCTTCAGCAGGTGGAGTCTCTGGCATTACACCCCACTGTTAACCCATGCGTCTAAGAACAGAGAGAACACTAAGAGCCAGTTTGGTGTGTGGTGAAGAGCATGGACTCTAATCTGGGAGAACCGGGTTTGAGTCCCCACTCCTCCACATGCAGCTGCTGGTGTGACCTTGGGTCAGTCATAAGTTCTCTCAGAGCTGTTCTCTCAAGGACAGTCCTGGAAAGAGCTCTCTCAGCCCCACCGACCTCACAGGGTGTCTGTTGTGGGGAGGGGAAGGGAAAGGAGATTGTAAAACACTTGGAGACTCTGAGTGAAGGGTGGGGGATAACTCCAGTCTCCTCCTCCTCTTCTTTTTCTTCTTCTTCACTGAAGTCCTTCCCCAGACTCCCGTTGTCATGACTACTCTCTTTTAATATGTGGATTAGCTATGATGTGTTTTTGAATTTCTTGTTCCTTTCTCTCAGTCAAAGTATGTAACGCTGCCTCCAGGAATTTAATTCCAAATCTTATTATGAAACTTTTCCCTTCGTATTGTGCCCAAGCACTAAGGCTCCTTCATTGGGCTATGATGTGGTCCGGAGGATGAGACTCTAGTATTGAAATAGCATAGAACTCTTTGGTTTACAATAAACAAACTAAGTTTTGTAACTTATCTCTTCAGTGAGTAAAACAGTGTAAGTTAATAACTTCTGACTGAGGTATCATGCTTTTACTTCACAATCACTCCTCATTCTCAAATCCTCCTTTCTCTTCAGAATGTACTTTTGTCCAGTCTTTATTTTGTTTAGCTCAGTTTAATCTTTCACTTCTTAACTCGGGTTCTTGTCAGCTTCTGTCTCACACACCCTTATAATACTTTGACAATATTAGGTTTTGACCCTTCCCAGTCACTAATATGTCCTCTAAATAAAGTATTCTACTCCCCGTTTAGATTCTTAAATGCTTTTCACAGCACTAATACGGGATTCTAATCAGAAGACTGCTTTTTCCAGATTCTGCTGACTGACCACAACTGACCGACTTTCTCTGTGCTCACAAACACACACACACACACACAGATGTCTTAGCTCCGCCCACACACACTCAGTCATCACCTCGTTCACTCATCCACCTCTTTCACCCCCCCTTCTGCAACTTACCAAACATTTATTATCATTATTATTTATTTATTAGACTTATTGATCGTCCTATCCCTACTTGTGCCAGGCTCTGGGTGATGTACAGTATGGCATAAGCCTTAAGAACAATATAGGTAAAGGTAAAGGTTCCCTTGCTCAAAACCCAGTCAAATCCAACGCTAGGGATGCAGTGCTCATCTCTGTTTCCAAGCTGAAGAGCCAGCGCTGTCCGAAGATGTTTCTGTGGTCATGTGGCCGGCATGACTAAACACCAAGGCGCATGGAATGCTGTTACCTTCCCACCGAAGTGGTACCTATTTATCGACTTGCAGTTTCTTGCTTTCAAACTGCTAGGTTGGCAGGAGCTGGGGCCAGAGACGGGAGCTCACTCTGTCATGTGGCACTCGGGTCTCGAACTGCTGAACTACCGACCTTCCGGCCTGCAGTTCAGCGTCTTAACCACTTGAACCACTGCAGCTCCTTTAAGAACAATATACAAACATTAAATATAATAAGATTATTTAAAGAAACACTCACTGAAAAGTTTAAATCATTACACCCTCCTCCCCGAATCTCCAGGAATTTTCTAACCTGGAGCTCGCAGCCCTAGTCAGGGGTGATGTTGGAAGGGCCTGATCGGTGCCTTCTTTCAAGGTCTTTGTAAAGACCTTGCCACTGAAGAAGTGGCCTGTAGTTGAGAAAAGTGCCACTAGACTCTTTTCAGACTGTGGCTGTGTGGATCTGCAGTGAAAGGGCAAGATCTGAGTCCAGTGGCCCCTGAGAGACCGACCAACCAGAGTCAAAGATCCCTCCATCAAACTATGAGACTATTGTGTATTTGTTGACGATACTGTCCAATCGAATAGCTGGGGAGCCCAATATAAGACACATGCCTTTACACAGCCAGGACACTAAATGTTCCACATTTAGGAATAGTGTTTGCCATCTTCGTGCCAGGGATACAGAACCAGCAAGGGTGACGGAAGCTGTAGTCTGAATAGAATCATAGAATCATAGAGTTGGAAGGGACCTCCACGGTCATCCAGTCCAACCCCTTGCACAATGCAGGAAACACACCTCCCCCTCCACACCTGCAGTGACCGCTGTTCTATGCCCAGAAGATGAGAGAAAACCTCCAGGACCCCTGGCCAAACTGGCCTGGAGACAAATGGCTTCCTGACCCCAAAGTGGCAATCAGCATATCCCTTGGCGTGTAAGAGAGGGCCACGAGAACCTTGAAACATGCATACTTACCAGGAAACAGCACAGACATCTACAGGGCTTACTTCTGCATAAACGTCTATCTGGCCGTGGTTGTCCTCCTACCCTGTCTCCAGTTTGGTGTAGTCCAGTTTGGTGTCGTGGTTAAGTGTGGGGACTCTAATCTGGGAGAACCGGGTTTGATTTCCCACTCCTCCACTTGCACCTGCTGGATGACCTTGGGCAAGCCGTAGTTCTGACAAGAGCCGTCCTTGAAAAAGAGTTTGTGTCAGAGTTCTCTCAGCCCCACCCACCTCACAGGGTGTCTGTTGTGGGGAGGGGAAGGGAAAGGAGATTGTAAGCCGCTCTGAGACTCCAAGTGAAGGGCGGGGTATAAATCCAATCTCCTCTTCTTCTTCCAAGAAGCTCCAGGTGACATAAGACCACGGCCACACAGCCCGGAAAATCTACAGCAACTAATAACTTTAAATACTTCAAGGTTTTAATTCCTCTCCCCTTTGTTTTAGGCAAAATTTAATAGATTTCTGTGGGCCCTGAAATTTCATTTTTTTCTGATGTGAGAAAAAAATAAAAATATTTTCTTCAACCCTAAAAGTTTATTTCCCCCCCTTCTGATTAAAAAAAAAATTAAACCATTTTCCTGGTGCCCTAAAAGTATTGTGCGCCTACTGTGCCTACTGGATAAGTCGGCCCTGGGTCCTGGGTAGACTGTGCCTGGGGGCCCCTCCCTTGCTCACTGCCTAGGGTTGCCAGGTCTGGGTTGGAAAATACCTGGAGACTTTGGGGGTGGATCCAGGAGAGGGCAGGATATGGGGAGGGGAGGGGCCTCAGCATGGTACCAGTTCCTAAGATATTTCCTAAAGGACTGGATGGAAGAATCACTGGACCCCTGGTGGATCCGACCGAATGCAGGACTCCCTGGTTCATTTTCTTGCCTTTGGGGGGGGGGGATTACATTTTTGCCCTTTCCTGTTTGGTGTAGTGGTTAAGTGTGCGGACTCTAATCTGAGAGAACTGGGTTTGATTCCCCACTCTTCCACTTGCACCTGCTGGATGACCTTCGGCAAGCCATAGCTCTGCCCAGGGGTCATTTAATAGAAAAAGAGGTGCAGGAGTTCATTAGCATAACTTATTAGAGCATTGCTGTGTTGCAACTGAGTCACAACTCTCCAAATACATCTGGAGCCTCAAGACCGTGGTGCTGCA